TGGAATGCATTGTTTTAGTTGTGATGAGCACTTCCAAAACTGAACGTTGTCCTACAAAGGATTAAGCTTTGATTTAGTACTAATGTTTAAATTTCCGGAGCACTAGTTTACTAATAATGCGGCTTCCAAAATTCACAGTGGCAACTGGACCTAGCAAAGGGTACCCTTTGGTATTTGCACACTTATTTAGGTTTATTACATGAAAACGCGCGATTGAAATCAAAATATTTCAACTCACATGTGTAGTGAAAAGACTATACTTTAATTTAGCACTAATATTTAAATTTCCGGAGCACTAGTATATTTATAATGTGGCTTCCAAAATTCACAATGGCAACTGGACTTAGCAAAGGGTACTCTTATCCTATTTGCCCACTTATTTCGGGTTATTACTAGAAAACGCGCGATCTAAATTAAAATCTTTCAACTTACCCGTATAGCTAAAAGATGGAGCTTTAATTTAAAATACAGATTTGAAATTTCCGCGCACTAATTTATTAACAACTTTAATCTGAAATACTATTTTATGTGAAACACACTTTTATGTGTAAAACACGCAAATTAAATGGCGGGAGGGGAGCTGTCAAAATAACTGTCAAACAGCTTTACGAAAGTTTGAAGAAAAGTAAAAAAAGTAAAATCCGCTAGAAATGAAATCGTCGGGAATATTCAGCGTTGGGCTGAATATATGCGGAATGAAATACGGACAATTTCTAAGGAGATTTTAAAAAATTCTGGAAAACACAGGAGCCAAACTAGGTATACCAAAATCTACTGCGCAATCTTAGCAAGCATTCCATTAAAAATTACCTCGTTATATATTATAATGCCAAAATAATTCCCTTGAAAGCGCACGAACTCTGAAAATTTGCTTGTAAATTTCGTATAAAGAAACTCAATGTCAAGAAAAGTGACGTGCTTTTTAATTTTTTCTCTATGAGACTTAAAAAAAACTTTATTTACAAAGGAAGTGTCGGCTTTGAAGAATGGGAAAACACTAGAAGGAAAACCCACGAGTGCGAAAAAAAATGTTTCACATAGCAGCGAAATGAGACCGTAACAAGAGTCATAAATTGCTTGATCTCTCTGCAAAATCACAGCGTATAATGACAATAAAACGCAAAGTAAGCGAAGAAACAGTAGAGACTTTACAAGAGCCAGGGAAATAGTTAAATTTGTACAAACCACTCTACCCAAGATTTTTTACACGTTGAAAAGGAAAATTAAAAGCGGTTATGAGCGCTTTCCCAAAATGTGCTTGCGCCACATTCATTTTAGTTTTGTACAACGGATTAGGGACCCATAAAAAGGCACCTAAATAAAACTCTGAACTAAGTATAGTCTAAATGGCTAAAAAAATAATAACTCAAATTGGGACAGTAAAATCCCAAAATAATAAAAAAAAGCCCTCCGCCTTATGCCTGAAAGCTTAAACACGCCAATCGTTAANAAAATATTTTTCATTGGGGACCCATAAAAAGGCACCTAAATAAAACTCTGAACTAAGTATCGTCTAAATGGCTAAAAAAATAATAACTCAAATTGGGACAGTAAAATCCCAAAATAATATTTTTAAAAAAGCCCTCCGCCTTATGCCTGAAAGCTTAAACACGCCAATCGTTAAGGACATGAGTCTTTTCTATAAAAATGTTTCTTGAAAATATTTCATTCCGCATATGTTATTACCTTTTTGATAATTACGAGTGACAGATTTCAAATTGTTACAGTTTATTTCCATTGTGCTCCTCATTACATCTATATATTAATACGCTAACATAAATTTTGTCTCCGTTCGTTTGGCGATTCTACCGAACCGATTTCAAAACCAAGAACACCGTTGGAAAGGCATTTTTCCGTATATGAGCAGAGTTTTTATGGTTTCACAATTGGTTGAAAATTACGGCCAAAACCGTCGTTTAAACATTTTCGAATTGTGTATAGATGTTGCTGCAACATGTTCAATTTGACATGTTTCGCATGTTGTTTCACTTCGCATTTGAAATTAAGCTTTGAAATAAAGATAAATATGAAGATGAAGAAGTAAATGATAACGATAAAGTCAAAAAAAAAGAAGAAAAAGTGAAGATAAAGACAAAAATAGAGACAATGTCAGATACATAAGAATTAGGGTAACTAAAAGGGTAAGAACATTTCTTGAATTTATGAAGTGAAACTTCTTTAGCGGCAGTTGGTTGGTTGGGAGTAAATTGTCAAATTCAAGGGGAATAATACACATGGAAATAGTTCTCAGCGGTTTAGCGGTTTGAGAATAAAACCAAAAACAAAGATGCCTAGAGGTACAGGCAAAAACGAAGATCAAAGCAAATTTAAACACTTTAGGTAAAGGTGAAGAGGAATATGCAAAAATAAAGATAAATATGAAGAAAAGGATGAGGATGAAGATCGATATTGTTATCGATATAATCCCGATATTTTTATCGATATAATAATTGACATTGCTATCGATAAAATAATCGATATTGTTATCGATACTGTTATTGATTAAATAACCGCTATTGTAATCGATATAATAATCAATATAATAATCGATATTGTTATCGATACAATAATGGATATTTTTATCGGTATAATAATCGATTAAATTATTGATTTTGTTATCGATTTAGTCATTTGTATTGTTAACGATATGTACAATAATCGATACTGATGATTGTTATATTTATCGAGAAATTAATCGATTTTACAATCGTTGTATTTTTCTATATGTTTATGGATATTGTTAGTCGGTATTTTTATCGACATAGTTATCAACAGGGTTATCGATACACTAATCGGAACATGGAATGTGATCACATTACATGACATCACATCACATTTTATCACATGATATAAAGAGACATAACATGATATTAAATCACATAATATGATATCACATCACACGATATCACGTGACATGACATTATATGATATGACATCACATTATATGGCATGACATCAGATGACTTGACATCACATGATATGACATCGTATGACATGACATGGCATTACATGACGTGGCATCACATGATATGACATAATATGGTATGACATCATATGACATGACATCACAGGATATGACAACACATGACATGACATCCTATCACATCACATAAAATCACGTCACATCTTATCACGTCATCGCACCTCATCTCATCTACGTGAAAAGAAATAGAAAAGGATATAAGCAAAGATGTGAAAGATAAAAACAAAGATGAAGACCAAGGTAAAGTTACCGATTTCAAAACCAATAACACCGTTGGAAAGGTAATTTTCTGTAGATGAGGAGAGTTTTTATAGTTTCGAAATTGGTTGAAAACCGTCGTTTAAAAATTTTCCATGTGTATGGTTGTTTTTGCAACCTGTTCAATTTAAGCTGTTTCGCATTTTGTTTTACTTCGTATTTGAAACTAAACTTTGAAATAAAGATAAATATGAAGATGAAGAAACAGGTGATAACGATGAAGACAAAAAAAAGGCAAAAGTGAAGATAAAGACGAAAATTGAGATAAAGGCGAAAATGGAGACAATGAGAAATACATAAGAATTACGGTAACAGAGTTGAAATTTTCGATAGGAATCGAAATAAAATCAGCCATAAAGGTTACTGAAATGTATCGAATCATCGAAGTTTATAATTATCGAAATTTATCCATGCTTAATAAGTTGTCTCAACGTATCGAATTATTCAAACCGATCAATGATTACTGAGTTGTCGAAATTTATAGACACAGAAACTTAGTTGTTTATCGAGCTATAAAAACGTGTGGGATTAACAAAATTTGTCAAGTTAAAGAAATGTATCAAGTTGTCGATATTTATTGAATTATCATTATTTATAGACTTAACGGAATTTATCGAGGTGTCGTAATGCATGGAGTTCTTTCAACTTACAGAGTTATCGATAATTATTGATCTACTGAAATTTGTTGGTTCAAC